ATAATAATAATAATACCATTCTATTATTATCATTAATACTACTACTACTACTACTAATGATAATAATAGTAATAATAACAATAGCAATAATAATGATAACAATAATAATAATAATAATAATAATAAAATAATAATAAAATAATAATAATAATAATAATAAAAATAACAATAATAATAATAATAATAATAATAATAATCTTAACAACAACAACAATAATAATAATAATAATAATAATAATAATAACAATTATCATAATAACCATAAAATACTTTTGGACAATACATATACTTCTTAATCCTCATATATATTCTATAAAAATGTAAATAAACCCTAAAAACAGCATGAACCAAAATCAAAATAGAAAGCTGCTAACAGTAGATTTGCATTGGAACAGGGAAGAAGGGCAACAGGATAAGTGAGATACATATTCTGGAAGTGATATATCAAGCTGGGTACTGGTAATGACATTCTAATGAAAATGTTGGGTACTGGTAATGACAATATTCTAATGAAAATGTTATGACCAAAACATTTGTAAACCTGGGTAATCTTTTTTATTAAATTGGTAAAACTGAAAATATGTGAAAAGTTACCAAAAACTCACTTGGGAAAAAAATGTAATGTTTGTTCAATAAATATCTCCATACAGTTACCAAAAACTCTCTTGGGAAAAAAATGTAATGTTTGTTCAATAAATATCTCAACATCCTGTCCAAACTGAGAGATTCAGATAATTTGACAGAGATTCATGCTACAAAATCATGCTTATTCAAAAAATCATAAAATATTGTATGCAAGTCTAAGTGACTTATTGTGAAGTCATACACATCAATCTTACAAAAAAAGAATAAACATATGAATTATTAGTTGTTCCTACATTAAGACATGGTGACAAGACATAAACTGTGATCAACTATAATGAACAAGAAATAGTGCATTCATTTACCTTCATAACTCTGCCCTGGTTCTAGGTCAATTTGCTCCACAGAATTGTCACTATGCTGAAGCAGAAGTCCATTTTCTTGGTCAAGTGCTAAAGAACTTGCTTTGTGTTTCTTGGCTTTTATAAATGCAGGTTTTGGCATGTCATCTATACCTTCTACATTGACAGATTCCCCAACTCTGCCAATGATATAAATTTACACTCTTACAATACACTATTACAATAGTGATATCTTACTCTCACAGTGTTTTCACAATCTAAAATTACAGTTATAATTTACTTTAAGTAATCTCTCTCTTCACTAACCTTAAGAATACTTCATCCATTGTGGTCTGGGAGGCTCCATAACTGGATATGTGTAATTCTTCTCGACTGTTTTCCAGCTGCAAGAACAACGCTTCAAATTTGGCTACATCTGCATTGGGGAGAACATAGGACAGCTCAGCCCCAACATTCTGGTCAAGTTCTGCATCTGGTATGTGATTCTGAAGGACAGTGGTGATAGCATCAATGTCACAGCCTTTCTCTTTAACAATGATCAGACGATAACCAGCACCTACAAAAAGTAGAAGCAAAAAGTTTCATTAGTAATAACAAAGTCATAAAACCCTTATCATTAACCCATTGCTCCTGGGGATGGCATGTACATACATGCCATGCCCACTGTGAGTCGACTTGTTTGATTGTTTTTACACATAGATGGCTACACTTGTACTAAGTCACCAATGAACCAATTACGAGTACTGCCTGTCTCGCCCGTTCACCCTTTTCATCGATTTACGAAAATATTTAACATTATCCTAATTTGCTGTTAAAATTATCCTAATTTACGGTTAAAATTAACACCATCTATATTTATAGCACTAGTACGAATATGTTTTTTCCTGCCAATTCAAGGAAAGGTGAAATCAGGACTAGCAGAGCCATCTATTGACAGAGATATTTCACAAAAATATAAAAAATGAGTGCAGTATTTCCCCCATTTTTTGTTCAATTTCCCCGGCGGCAATGGTTTAATACGACTAACAAATTACATTCTTGGATCAATAATAATGTTTAAAATCATCTGATAGCAAATACTAAACTACAATAATGATAAATATTATCAAAACTATAGTGATATAATATAATATTACCAAAGAGAGTTAAAAACTGAAGCAATGTGGATGATAGGGCAAAATACATCAGATCAAAAATCTGTCACCTGTGATGTTATTCAGACCAAATAAGTAAGCTTTTCAAAATGAAAAGATTAATGCCTAAGTAACAACAATAATAATAAAAAAACATACTAATAATAATACCAACAATAATGATAATAACAAGAAAACAGCATTAATAATATCAACAAAATAATAACAATGACGATAACAGTAATATCAACAATGACAAAAACATCAACAAAAATAATAATATAAATAATGACCCTAATAATGACACTGATAATAGCAGTTATAACAAATATGATTCAAACAATAATACTAGACATCAGTAATAACAAAAATAATAAAAAGAACAAAAACAATATTAATCCAACTTAATTTTCATTCTCATTA